TGTTGAATAACATATAAAGACGATAATTCTTTAGCTCTTTCGACAAGTGGACATAGGTTTATCGGGTTTGTTTTTATCGTGGTTTACCAATCTTTATGATCCTAGGTGTTTTTTCCGTTAGGGGACTGTGTGATCTGATTACCATGCTGCTTATGGCCTCGAGCTTCTAAAGCTGGTCTGGTTGTAATAGTTTGAGCTAACTAAAGAAATATCTTTAACTTGGTGATTGTTAACCTGAATAATTTCTTCTGCCAAATCATTAAATAAAACTACATTTCTACGAGTATTCCTGAAATTATAATTACCACACCTTAGGCTCAGTATTTATATTTTCAAAACTGCGCATTTAAATGTGTTTAGTTGCTAGTTCGTTAGATAAACGAAATTGAATAATCGTTTCTAGAATATGTTGTACAATTTTGTCGTACTTGTTGAAATCGAGTGAGGAGTCATTGTTTTATTATCTTTAACAAACAACCGGAAGGAAAGAGTAAAACGTTTCTCAAACTCAGATACAGCACTCGCAAAAAGGAAAGAAAGAAAAAGTAGTAATTGTGTAGATAAATATCTGAATTTGTTAATATACGACGTATTTGTCTGTTGATGTACTTGTATATAATCTGTTAAAATTATACTTTAATGTTTGAGAGCTATCACAATGTACCTGAATAACTCACTGTAATATATATATCTTTTTTGTTGTTAATTTGATTTAGATAAAATTTGTTATTGATTGTTTAGTGTCAGACGGATCTAGTCTTCTTGGTGGTGAATATTTAATCTGTATTAAAAAGTACTCAAGAAGTGTTGTTAAAGTTTCTACCTGTTTTCAGCGGTATGCCACCTGTAAAGTAGTTTTTCGTAACACGAGGATATTTTTGTTGCGTGACACACTTTATGTGTTAACAATTAAATGTAACAACACGTGTTATATTAATATTATGGCTCGGAATTGACTGTTAAGTTGTTTTGTTTTTCAAATCAATGCTATAGAATTCAGATTTTTGAGAAGAACGTAAAACAGTGCTCTGTTGACTACAAGGTTTCTTTATTCTCTCTCGGTGTTTATTTAGTAATTCTCTGTTGTACTTCAGCATGTTTCTGTTTTTATTTGATTTGTAACATTCTAGTTTTTTAGATGCGCCTTCAAATTTAACTAGTAGGCTGTTGACTCTTAAACAATGTAAACGAAGAAATATAGTCTCGAAAGAATCGCGAGGAGGTTTAATAAATTGTGATCAAGGTATTTGGGAGCTCATAGGTTGGATTGAATCCAGTTAGCTGAAGTGGCTTAGTGGTTAAGGTAATCAGCGGGTCGCGGGATCAAATCCAATCACCGAACACGCTCGGTCTTGAGGGAATATATAATGTGACGTTCAATCCTACTATTCGTTAGTAAAGAGTAGCCCAAGAGTTGGCTGTGGGTGGTGTTCAACAGATGCCTTTTCTGTCGTCTAGCACGTCAAAATTAGAGATGTGTCTAACGCAAATAGCCATTGAGTAGCTTTGCACGAAATGTAACAAAACGAACAATTTACTTTAAAATTGATACTAACGTATAAAGGGCCGTTGAAAATGAGCATCTTTGTTTAGGGTTTTGAAGTTTCCTAATGGGAGATCAAGTGGGTTTGGAAAAACAGGCGGCACGGATATCTTGAAAATAGACAAAAATATACAAATGGCCGTTCCAAAAAAGTATGATTTTGAAATTTATTTTTGTAGGTGTTTCCCTTGTATTTTCACGTGTAATTTATTGGTATATAATAAATAACACGAGCTATATTGAAATTCTGTCAGCTGCCATTTATGGTTTTCTTAAGAGTTTATTATATAGTAGATCCGAGGAAAACCTACAAAATGCTTGCGTTGCTGAAATCTTCCAGCTACTTTCTTCAGTTGAGCATGGAAATATTCAGCAAAAAAGGAAAGGAATATCCCGTAAAGAAATCCTAAAATACCATACTCGTTAAATAGAGTGTTCAGTTAATATTTGTGTATTTATGATTATTTGGTAATTTGGCTATTTTTTTTGTTTATCACAAAGGTACACAATGAGCTATTTATGCTCTGCCTACCGTTGGTACTGAAACCCGCTTTTTAACGTTATAAGCTATCAGAATTACTAATGAGCCATTGGAGGGATAATTTAGGTAAAATGTTAAACGATTTGTACACCCCCTATATACCGTATTTTTCGGTGTATAAGACGCACTTTTTTACACCAAAATTTGATGTCAAAATCTGTTTCCTTTCCTATACACCGAAGGTATGAATAATATATATGTATATATACGATATACACAAGCCATGTGTAAATATATTTAAATAGGCATGCATAGTTTAGTTCGATTGAATGTGTTATTTATAACAATAGTAGTTTTTTCTTTTAAAAACATAATTATTTATAGTGCTCCCTAAATAATAAAAAAATAAATTACAGTGAAAACAATGAAGATTTTGAACCAAACTAAATAACAGTAAACCTTTTTTTGATTTACGGTATTTTCTTATTTTGATGTTTTGAACTCTTTTGTGTTTAGAACAATATATATACTAATTTTTAAAGTATCAAATTGATTTTTTT